GTTGGCTGACTCCCATTGCAACCGATCGGGTGTTTCGCCTCACACGAATTGTAAGGGGGTTATTTGGAATTCGCTCGATCCATTAGGATGGATGGATGGATGGACTTAAGCGGGATGGTTTGAACGAGTAGGGGACCACTCGACCCGCGAGGATGAGCCGGGCCGAGTGGGGTTTGGGTAGGGATGGTTGACTGAAGGTGAGACGAGATGGCGAGAATGGGTGGTTCTTGTTGTAGCAGGCTTTCTGTCACTTGGACGCCTTGATCTCATGTCTGAAGCGGATTGACCGAGAATGGTTCTATTGGAAGCCCCCGTTCACTATGAGTCAGGGCTGAATCGTCAACTAATGATGAACATAGTTGGCGTGGGTCTGTGCTCTAGAGTTTAGAATTGTTGCATAGACGGAACTATGGCGTGGAATCGATTGAGTTGTACCTGACAAGGAATAAGCTCAAGATCATAAAACTGATTGACCTTCTCTTTTAGAGACTAGTTTTCGGCCTTGATGAAGGCGTTTTCGATCCGAATGGTGGTGTTCTTAGCTTCCACTGCGGCCACCTTGTCTGAGTACTGTTGCATGAGGGCGGTTAGAGCCTCCAATCTAGCCTCGAGGCCAAGATTAGTGTTATCAGAATTTTCAACCATAGAGAATTTCTTTACGTAGCAAGGTTTGTGAGACGAATGATTGCCAGAGGCCTCACGGTGGGTGCCAAACTATAGATGCAAAAATCTACCTATACGGAAATAGGGACTGATCCTGTGAGGTTGAGGCCACTAACTATCTGTTGCACCTGCACACGTAAGGAAACAAGCATGAGGCAGACGAAAAACACCAAGGTAGTGTTTGCCGTAGGCACTCTAACGCTTAAGTCAGTAAGGCTGAATGAGGCTAGTTTAGTGAAGGTTAGGGAAAAGAAAAGTTACCGAAAGTCTAGTTGGGGATTGTGACTATGGCTGTAATGCGAAGTTCTCAAGTGGGAACTCCAGGGTCTAAAGGTGTAATGTCTTCATCCCTTGTGAGAGGGTTGGCCTCTGTTTAAATAATGACTGTAAGGTCTTCGAATCCCGGTGGGACTGGGAGTCCTTACAGCGGTGGTTTTCTGAAAGAGTGGAGCTTTTGGCTCCCTTATCTCAGTAAGAAAGGGAGTCCTAATGCGCCTAGGATACGGACTGTAGACAAATTAGGATAGTGATTGACTTCCTTAGTAGAGTTCAAGTAGTACTGTAGTTCGTAGGCAACTGTGGGCTCCAAGTTGATCGTAAGTCCAGAAGGTGCTCTAGGATCAAAAGGCCTAGGTCCAGATGGTGAGGAATTGGGAAAGCATACCGAACATGCCTCATTTGCATAACTCTGATTTGGGCCCCATCGGAATTGGGCCTGAGCTTTCAGCTTTGTTGAAGGTGTCTTCATCTTTGGGCCTATTTGGGCTGAGGACATTTTTTGGCCCTAACACAATATAAATGTAAAATGGGAATAAGTAATTGTGATGAAATTAGATCTTAGGAGTGGTTAAGTTGAAAGACATCACATTTGAGATAATCGCTTTTTATTGTCTCTTTGTTTCGGCAACAATATTGCTTCTTGTTCTTGATTCCTTTTCCTCGTATCAGGATTTACTAATAAGGTGACTAGGTGAGAAAATGAAGAATATTTGAAAACAATAAATATGACTAAGAATAATGTCATATGCATTAATCATCAAACCGGTGACAATTTTTTTTGTTTTTTTTCTTGATTTATGTTGTTACAATTTCTTACACCATTGAGAAGTCCATGAACCTTCATGGAAGTTCGCACAAGGGTTTATCATAGACCAAGAATATGATGTTGAACCAATGAGAGAAATAATATCAATGCAAGTAAATAAATAAAGAGAACACAAAAATAGTTTTTAAAGTAGTTTGAATGCAAAAAGCAAATCATATGTTTACTGTTATCTTATTGCTTTTCTAGTGTGTTTTGGTGTGTTTACAAAAGACTATTTGCTCTCAAATGAGACATTTGCTTTTAGCTATTGAGAAAAATAAAAATTCGGATCTCTTCTTTTGGGTGAGGGGCCCTTATTTATACTGTTGCATAGGTGGATTTACTCATGAAGTAATTCTCTCATCGCATGACACGTGGCTTGACAAACCACCCTTATTAGAGACTTACCAATAAAGTAGTTTTTTTATGAGATGACAGGCGGCCTAAATGACAACTTAGTTCTAAACCTTACTATTGAAGCAGCCTATGAAAACCTTACAAATGAAGTAATCTCTTCATCAATAATGCTATGGACACCGAAGACCTGCATGGAAATTTTGCACCGAATGACGTGTCAACTGAGTTGACGCAGCTGCATAGCGTATTAACAAATATTTCGCGAATGAACGGACGTCCATCAAATATGGACAACGTTCGTGATTATTGGACGATCGTTCATTTTAAATGGACTCCTGTCCATGAGAAAATAACAATGGATGGGCGTCCACCTAGAATGGACACCCGTCCATTGTTTAAAATAAAAAAAAAATTAAAACAAAAATCATGGATACCCGTCCATATATTATGGATAAGCGTCCATATTCAATGGAGTAGGGACGCCCGTCCATTGTTAAAATTAAAAACAAAAGTAATGGACGGGTGTCCCTCTTAGATGGATACTCGTACATTTCCGTTCATTAAATAGGGAAACAAGTGTTCTCAATATAAGTGTCTTAAGGAAGTTCATCACTTGAACTGCATACATCAATGCAGTTAAGGGTTCCGCCATCTGCAATAAAAAATAAAGTAAAGAAATAGGTGCAATGGACTTTGGCCAAAAAAATTTACACACAAAATGAGTTAAATACTTGTTGTATTGTATTCAATGTTGGTTGGTGCAATTAATGCTTGCATTCAATACTGGTATATCCTTTGTTTCTCTTATTATTTGAGCATTAAATAGATTTAAAATTGTTAATATTAAAGATGGACACCCGTCCATCTTTTATTTTTAAAATTTGTTGAATGGGCGTCCAAACAATTATGGACTCCGTTTATAGTAAATGGACGAGAGTCTATTATTATTTCAGTATAAGAATTTATCCAGATTAGTGAATGATTACCCATTTATAATGCACAAATGTCCATAAATTATGGACGGGCGTTCCCACTTAATTGGGCATCCGTCCACTAAGTAGGAACGTCCATCCATAATATATGGATGGACGTCCATGATTTTTGTTATCAAATTTTTTTAATTTAAACTATAGACAGACGTCTTTATATGTGGATTCCTGTCCATATTTAATAGACAGCCGTTCATTCGTGAAATATTTCTTAATGTGTTACGTGACTCGTCTGACTCAGGTAACATGTCGTTCAGTTTAACATTTTGGTATAAAACATCGATGTCCGTAGCATTATTGTCTCTTCGTAGCATGACACACCATGGTTGTTAGTATCCTACGATACCCGATATGTATCATACGATACGATTCGATACAGGTCGCCAACGATACGTATCAGAGAGTGTATCCTAAACATTTCGATACGTTGATATGTATCCTACGATACGATACGTATCCGTTTGTATCCTTAAAAATATCGATATAAATCGATACGACTTTATTAATTTGGGCCAAAGGTCCAAAAAACATTTCAAGTCGAAACCGGATCATCCAACCCGATTCACTAAAATCTGTCCAAATTTACCCATTTTACATGGAGAAAGTGAAGAGAAATATGTATTGCCCATTTTACATGATAATAATAATATAAGTGGAGATCTAGATATTAACATTGATCTTGAAATTTAGTGATTAATTTTGATTATGTAATACCGTAATTTAAAGCCAATAATACCACAAAATTATTTAATTAATCTTGGGGATGATATTAATTTTTAGAAAATTTTAATTATTTTATTAATTTTTTAAAAAAATATGTATCTTACAATATGATACAATACGTGATACATAATTTAAAAAATTAAATTTTTGATACACAATGCGATACATAATTTGATAACCATGTGGCAAACTACCTGAATAAATGCACAATAACAAACACAGGGCGAGGGCTCATGCTCCATCTGCATCGTCACAAGACACGTGCATGAATTTACAGCATAACAATTTATAAATTAAAACTTTACATTATTACAATTTTAGCCTTCATTAAATTAGACGTGACATTGTTTAACATGTGAAACAAAAATTAGGCCTCCGTGTGTGTTCATATATATAATTATGAAGGCCGGAAGAAGCGACAAGAAAATATCAAATAAAAGAAAGAATGACTGGGTCAGTTGTGTGACAAAAGTTGGTCCCACTCAAAATATCTTCTACGACAATGTGCTTCTGTGAGTGGCTTACTATCATGTGGCATCGTCCTTGGCCACCCAGCACCTTAGACTACATCGCACCACACGATCTTGCTCTCCCTCATCTACTTTCCCCGCCACGTGTTCCCTTTTCCGATTGAGGTTATCTCTTCATTTCCTTTTCTCCCTCGACCGACGCTTCTCTTCTTCTAAAGCTACCTCTCTTCAGAAATCTTCACCCGCACTCACGATCACCGTAAATATTTTTTAGGTTAATAAATTAATTAAAGTAAATATTATATGCAGAAATCAATATAACACAAATTAATTATATCATTTTTTTAATTTATTAAAGGACAAAAGTAAATCACATGTTCTAATAATGATAGGATTGTAAAGCTCACATGTATCTTAATTCTTAAGACACATCGAAACCACTCCGTTAGAATATTATATGTTAATTAATTACAAATTAAAAAAACTATAAAGAAACAAATACATACGTGGCACTCGGGATCATGCTTAATTGATACGCTTAATTATTAATCCCAGCCACCCACGGTCCTATTTTCTGTCTTTTGACGTGGCATACTTTCATTGGTCATTCATCCATATCAGCAAAAACCTCACAGTATCCAATAATAAAACCCGTGAATAGTCATATAAAAGCTAACTGCTTCACCTAATCACATTTCATCGTAGTTTCAAAGCTAAAGCCCCCCAAATTGTTTTTTTTTTCTCATGGTATCCAAAAACCCGAACCCATCTGAAGGATTCTACTTGGATCCGAATGGAATGGCGTTACCTGGACTCAGACCTTTTGCCACAGCCGCGACAACAGCTGCCGCTCCATCTACGGTGTCTTCGTCAGAGGATCCGTCAAAGAAGATCCGAAAACCCTACACTATTACCAAGTCTAGAGAAAGCTGGACCGAACCCGAGCACGACAAGTTCCTTGAAGCGCTTCAACTGTAATTGAACTCATCTTTCATCTCTTTAAACTGTTCGTTGTGTAATTTGTGTTTCTGTCGATGGCTTTAAGGGATTTGAAATGATTTTTCTGGCTGTATGTTTTGTATTTTCGTGTAAATTGGCTTTAAATTTTGTTTGGATTGCGAGAAAGTTGAGTGGAGAAAGAAAATTCGCTGTCCTTTGTGATATTTCGTGTGACTATGAATGTGTTGAGCTTCAGTTTTGTTTATTAAGAAGTAGTAGGAGAAATTAAGAAAATGAATATTTCTGAGATTTGAAATTTTAGCTAGTTTTACTTTTACTTTACCTTAGCTATTGAAGTGATGTTCAGATTTTTTATTTAATTGAAAATTTGTGGATGTGTTTAGTTGCAATATGGTTGTTCAGAGAAGTAGTGGGAAAATTTATGAAAGTGGACTTTTCTAGATTTGGAATTTTAGTTCATTTATGTAATTTATTTGAATTTTGTTATCTTTAAGAGAAAGCACTTCATTCTGGGTGAACTGCCATATAATGAGGTAGTATTATTATTTGCGTTTCAAAATTTTTTTGTTAGGAGGAATAGCTTAGTGTGAAGCAAGTAGAATAAACTTGAACAAGTGGAAATATATTGAATGGTACACTTAAGAGAGAACCTCTGCCATTAGCTTTGCGCCAAAGAGAAGAGAATTGTTTGTGCAAGTGGTTCATTTACTTGTTTGGTGCATGTAATACCATTTCAAGTTTATTTTTGTGAAATCATGCAATATAATGAGGTCCAACTGGAAAATCTAAAGGCATGATATCTTCTTTTAAGGGCTCTGGAACCATAGAAAAGGTATGACTGTAGGTGCTTGTGAGTAGTCTATGCTGTATGATCCTCGTGAATGAAGCATTTTATAAAAGAATTCTAAATATTGTTTAAAAATTTCAGGATAACTGGGTTCTTTATTCATGGAGAGAGATTATTGTCTTGGAGAAATTCATTTAAGGTTGAAAATTTAATTGAATATTTGCAAAGACAAGGAACATTTGATATGAATTCTTATCTTTACTATTATGCTTTTGTCCCCTGATGGTTTTTATGTTCTTGTGATTGTATTCAGCTTTGACCGTGACTGGAAAAAAATTGAAGCATTTGTTGGGTCAAAGACAGTCATTCAGGTACACTGAAGTCCAGAACTCCCTATTTGCAATATCAATGTTTTTCATGCTGGTACCTATTATATTATTTCATTTTTTTTCTTTTTTAGTTTTTTTTTTCTCTTTATTATGGTGTCATTTTGTTGGGGTTTTGTTTTAAGTATTTCCGTTACCTTTGCTACTTCTTTCTCGTAATTTGTTGTCCAGCTGCGTTTATTATGTGTGGGCTGTAAATTTCCGAGTTTTTGGTTATAGATTCAGCTATTTTACTCTTCTACTAATGGTTAACAATACACAATAGAAATATATAAGAATTGGAGGACTCTGTTTTGCAGATTCGCAGTCATGCACAGAAGTACTTTCTAAAGGTTCAGAAGAATGGAACAGCTGAACATCTACCTCCTCCCAGACCTAAAAGGAAAGCTGCTCATCCTTATCCTCAAAAAGCCTCAAAAAATGGTGAGAATAGTTAATTTTGATTTTTGAAGTATGTTTAGTGGTCACTATGCAAATTTAATGTAATTCAGTCTCAATATGACACTCTTAACAGCTCCAGTGCAATCACAAGTCTCGGGTTCCTTTCAACCATCTTCTGGTCAACTTGAACCTGGACATTTTCTAAGTCCTGATACCTCTTCAATGCATATGATTCCAATGGCTAGTGCTGCTGCATCTTCCTGGACAAACAATGTCCAAACAGTTGGTTTATCACATGTGACAAAAGGTTAGTCGTTTTACACTCACTGTAATATCAATAATATCAGCTTGATTTATGCTAGCTCTATAAATCTTTTTAAATGTGTTATGTGCTTTGTAGGGCCAGCAGTGGCAAATAACCGAAGCAGTTCCACTGAGAGTACTCCAAAAACACGAGCCGGACGGGAAATGACTGATCAAGGAAATCATGGTCATTTAAGAGGTGATACATTCAACTTTAGCTTTATGCTTATGGTACTTATTAGTCATCCATACCCTTATTCTCATTTTTTTTTTTCTTATTAGCACTTACAATGCCATTTTTGTTGCAGTCCTGCCTGACTTTGTGCAAGTATACAGTTTCATTGGCAGTGTATTTGATCCAAATGTTTCCGGTCATTTGCAGAAACTTAAAAAGATGGATCCTATAGATGTTGAAACGGTATTTTACAAATTGAATTTGTATTATCTCGGTCATTGTTGTTGTATAATATCAAAGTTTTTCTGGCCATATAATTAATTTTCTAATAGCAAAAGTTGTTTCTTAATCCTAGTCAATCATTGTGATTTTAGTTTGATGTTCTGTGGCTTTACTTTACATTGCAATGATCAAATATTTACTTACCTTTCTGGCTTCTGCACAGGTGCTGTTGTTGATGAGAAACCTCTCAATAAATTTGACTAGCCCCGATTTTGAGGATCATGTAAGTGTCCTTTCCCCTGCTTTACCTTTACCTCTTTTTTTTTTTTTTTTTCTTTTTTTTTTACTGTTCCACCGTTGTGTTTTCATATTCCGTCTCCCATTGTGATCCTTGGGCAGCTTGTGCTTTTTACTTAGGATTGTGATCACTGGATTGGATCACAATGAAAAATTAGCTTTTGCCTTGTTGTTAATGGGCTCTCATTTTTTTTTTTTCCTTTTTGAATGGATGCAGAGAAAGCTGCTTTCATCCTATGAAATCGAGACAGAGGCGGCCAACTATGGTGGTGCAAATAATGTCCTTATTAATGATCAACAGTGCAAAAATGTTGCGTAGTTTCGGTAGGTGACTAGAAATAGATTAGATTTTACTTGATCATATGTACCTATTCTTTCCTTCATTTTTGTGTAACCAATACTTACTTTCATCTCCTGATTTACTAGGAGAACTGAGTATCCAATAGCTTCAACAGCCAACCTAGTATCAAAGAAAAGATACACTGGTTGTCACTGGTGTCTCCAGTTGGATAGACATTTGGCTGCACTGTCTGACAATACACTCACCCACTGTGTCAGGTTCATGTATATATTTTTTGAAGAAAAAAAAGAAGGGCAAGAAATCGTAATAGAGGAGTGTATAGTTCAAGCTGTTTTATGAGGGTTAGCCTGTAAAGTGATGTATTATTGTGTATTACAATTTTGACGCATTATTTTTGGTGATGTATATGCATTGTTCTGTGTACCTCTTGTAATATTTTCCTAGAACAAGTATATACTAGTTTCAAATTTCCGGCTTAGCATGTGTGGTGGTATGTAATCAATGTTTTAAAACCCGGTCCAGCCCGGCCGGTTTAATTGGTTCAATCGGGACCTAGAAGCTTCAACGGGTCGGGTTTATATTTTTCCTATTCACCCAAAACCCTAGGATTTGAGAGAATGATCAGCAAACAATTAACAGTCGGGATGTTGGGGTTTTTGAAGAGAAAGTGTTGGAGAATGCAATGGTGGTGACGAAGTTGATTTTTGGTGAGTAAATTGATCGAAAATCGAACAAACTAGCAGCGGCAACAATCGGTTTTTGCTGGCAATTGACGAGGCTAACGGGGGTGGAGTGAGGTGGGTTTTAGTCGGGAGGAAGAGGGGAGTAATATCTAGGTGATGGAGAGGGTTGTTAATGCTGACGTCGATGAGATTTGGCATGGAATATCGACACCGGCGTTGGTGAGATCTGGCCGAAATCGAATCTATTTCGGTCAGATCTTGAGTATATTTTAAGGAGAATGGCTTCAAGGGACGATTAGGGTTACATATGGGGTGTTGTTGTCGTCAATCAGTCGTCGGTCGATTTGTATTTGGGGTGTGCTTGTTAAATTTCAAGCCTATAAGGACTTACCTGTAATTTTTAAGAGTATTTGTTGAATTTTATACGTTTTTGTCAACTTGTTTGGCTGCTGGTCAAATTAGTTAAGCCGGTCAACTTGGGATCCGACAACTTTGTCAGCTTTCACCTCAAGTTGGGTTTTAAAACATTGTATATAATTATCGTTGGATATAAACAATTAAAGCAGAAAACTGAACATACCCTGTTGATATTTTATATCTTCACTGATATGAAAATAAAGTTGTTTGGTTGATCTCTATCAAGTTTTGTAGGCCCTTTCCTCCATTGCATTAAAAATTTAAATGATTAGCCCACCCATTATTTTGACCTAGTGAAGTTTATGGCTACAACTAGTGGATTGGAATGATTATTTTTTATGTCATTTATTATTTTATTACTTGCTTTGCCAGGCAACAATTCCCATGCAAGAGATTTAACGCAACAAAATCCATGACGTAAATTGAAAAATATCTCACAGCTAAAGCCATTAACACAAGAACTTCCATCCTAAAGTATTTATTTTCACTCTTCAAGGCCATTGCTGCCGAGGCAAGCCTAATAGAATAATGTATAACTGAACAAATTGAACGAACGGTGGCAAATAAACAGCACTGTGTTAGCTCTTCAAATATATTCATTCATTTTCTTTCTTTTAATATATATATAGTAAAATCCCAACTTAAAGTGAATGTACGATATCCAACACATTCGATCTCAGTTTAAATTGTAGTAAAAAATAAAAATATGGAAGTCAAATATCCAGTATCACCAAAGAGATTAACATCCATGCTAAAGTTGAACTCATGTAGCACATCTATATTCAGCCAAATTGTTTATTTTCCATACCAAAATCCCATGTCCACCTGTTTGCTGAAGATTTCTGAATTGTGACCATGACCAGCCACAGCAAGAGGATGTGCCTGCCTTGATCTTACTTCCATCTCCAAGAGCCTATTGTAGGCTGCTTTATCACTGATTCCACCGACAATATGACCTGAAAACACCACATAAAAACAGCAACCAGTTAAGACTCATTCTTATCAAAATTGAATTCCAAAAAGTAGTAACAGGTCAAACACAAACATAATATGTTAAAATTATGAGCTTAGCATAATTCCGAAACTGTGTAGAGAATACTCTACCTGCAATTGGCATGTCAAGGCCCTGATAGTATTGTTGTCCATAATATAATGGAAGATTTTGTGTTGGGTATAGTAGCTCCTGAGTATAGCAATTCATTTCATTACTGGGATGAAGAGAAGGTGAACCTCTTGGCAGTACACCAACTTGGTGAGGAGAAGATTTGCTTGGAGTGGGCATCTGCTGTACTGGTGGACTATTGATAGGATGTCCAAACCTCCTTTGGTCAGCTTGAGGGTGCTGGAAATGACCAGAAAGCACATTTGTAGAAAAAGGATGGAGTGGTTGTGGATTATAAAGATAGTTCTTTGAATCTAAGGGCCTTGTCTTATGACTCATTTGAACTTCTTGAGCATCTGAAGATCTGAAAAATACCTTCACTGGATTTATATGGTGTTGGTCAAATGATGAAAAAGATTGCTTGCTATGCATACTTTGATAAGAAGTCTCCAAACCCAGCACATCGTAAGAATCAAAAATAGGACCATCCAAAGCAAGTTCAGTATATATTTCCTCACCACGGTTGAGACTAAGAGCTTCTAGCTCATCAGAATTATCAACCTGGGAATTCACGGTAAAAAAATCAGATTTAACTGAACCACCTTCAGCTGAAAATGTGGAGTCTTGTGGAAGTATGAAGTCATCTACTGTAATCAAACTGTCCTCATCTGGTAAACAAACTTCTTCTATTGAATCAGCACTTTCATCAAAGCCACTGACAGGACTGAGCTTGGACTCTGACTCACTTCCAAGGTTATATCCTATATTGGTCTGGCTATCATCAGAGATCGATATACTCTCCCCAATTTTACTCACTGCAGTTCTCTTACAACAGCTTTTTGAAATAATACCTTCACAATTAATCCCAATGGATCTAGATTCATTGACTGCTGGACAAAATATTTTATTATTACCACTAGCTGGAAATGGAAATTCACGAGGCTTCAACATATCATTTCCTGTAACCATGCCAACAGAGTGTGCCTGAATACCTGCAAATTCTGTTGTTTGTGAATCCTTTGCAAAACCTGTTCAAAATTTGGTTAATGAGTCAGATTTTTTCATAATACCAAGTATTTCTTTGAATGTTAAGCATTTTACCGTTATCTCCAATTTCAAGAACGAGGAATTTACCTATGGAAGCCATGCTTAGCTTTGAAAACTTTTCCTTATCTGTTTGGTCTGGCTCCTCTAGAAAAGAGAGAAGATGCCGAGATGCACCATGCTCAGCAACAGAATTTGGCTGCCTGTCCTTTTTTTTATAAGATTTCCAGCCTTTAACAGAGTGACGCTGAGTTAAATAATATTCATTGAGCTCAGACAGCATGGATACTTCAAAATCTTCACCAGTAAGAACTCCTGGAATCACATTTGGTGTATGACAATTGTACAGTTGCTCAGAGATTACATTGGTATCAGGAGTGGAGGTAGAAGCAATAAGCTTTGGAGCAAGTTCATTTCTTCCAGAAGATAGATTTGTGGAGTTGTGCCCCTCAAGTTTCTCATTCCACACAGTACCCCCTTTCATTTCGTTAGATGATGTGCTCACAGAAGGCTTGTTCTCTATGGAAAAAAGAGAAAACATTAATTTTAGTTTCTCTATGTAACTAGCCTCATTTGATACTGAAGTTTTTTTTGCATAAAATACATTGTTTAAAATTTAAAACTTTCAAACTCAGATATATGATACAAGTATACCTTCAAGAAACTGATGAGCAGAATCAGAAGAATGAAAACTGTAGCCTTCCATGTGATCTCTTCTAACCTCAAAGGGCTGATGAGGCAATAAGAAAAAGGACACCAAACATATATTTATATCATCGTTTAAAAACTTCAGTGTTGTATTCATTAAAAGTTTCACTTTCAGGGAGAGAAACGATGAATAAGCTGGTTAGCATGCATTCAACAAAGTAGTAATTTGAAGTTAGTACGTAAAGATTATAAGATTTACAGCTAACTGTGTGCCTAAGATTTCCAACCAGCGTAGTAACCAATTACCTCTGATATTGAGGAATTGATTAAGGACTTTGTCCCAAAATTCATGGTTTTATTAACCAGGGGAAGTAGATTTTCAGCGGAAGTTTGTGCATTAAAATCAAGCCCAACAGGATCGGTAGCTGGAGATAGGGATGTCAAAAATTCGTCTGGTTCATTGTGTTTGCTCACAGGACTGTTATAATTTCCAGAAGCCTCAAGGGGTTTGGCAACCTCTGGATCCAAGTTCTCTTTATACTCATCACACGTTTTATTTTGCTTCTCTTGAAAAGTTTTATGCTGTTCCTTTCTCATCAGCTCAAACAAATCTAATTGAGGGAACCCATATTAGCATCAGAAGATCAGTTTACCGTTAAAGCTTTACTGACTGGCTGGTTGACTGCAACCATTAAGGCAAGAATGCAAGTCTGTAACTACAATGGGAAATTAAAGGAGATTTTACCTTTTCTCCTTTCATCCTCAGCCCTATCCCAAGTCAGAAGCTCAGACGAACCAAATGTCTCATCATTATTAAGGTCTTCACTCTCTGTCCTAGAATGAACTTTTGCCTGAAAAGAAAACAAATTCTGATAATGAACCATACTTCTTTGGTATAATTTTTCAAATATAGTTTTCCTTATATTCTGGACCAAAAAGGACAATGAGCATTATCCAACATTATTTGTAATCACATCATCTGAGGCTGTGAAGATACTACTACATCAGTACTGGACAAAAGATATTTTCTACTCTCAATACCTTACAGCAATGGGGAGGCTTATATGCTGCATTACTCCTTTTAAGTAGATTATAACCTTTGCCTTGAACCAGTGAAGCAGAATCTCCAGAAATACGAGATACCCTAGGAAAAGCACCACTTCCTAAAATTCCAAGTTCAGGATTTGGGCTTGGATGTCGAGATAGGTGTCCGTGAAATCTTCTAGAATCTGCATTGGGCTTTGAATGTTTCAACATACCACAATCTTTCAAGCAATTCTACCTTCCATTATGAAACTATCCACAAGATTATAAGCATGAGATTTATAACATGCTAACTTAATAACTTTGAACCTCCTAAAGGCATATTTTCACCAAAAGGTTACTGAATGCACTACTAAGTTGATTGGATACATTTCAGGTGACACATGGTGTTTAACACTGCACGACCACCAGTAGTACAATCTTAATCTGATGGCCAGCTGTAGAAGCATGGGCTCCAATTAAATGAAGGATGTATGCATTATTGTAAACATTAGAAATTTGAGCCTTTTACCAGTGCCTTCTTCAAATGCAAAATCAATCCTAAGCATTTGGCCAGGCTCGAAAAAGAGGGAATGATCATGGCAAAGAGTCTATTCAGGTTCATCAGTTTTGTCACTATCAAGCAGAAGCTCTCTTTAGAAACTAGTGACTAAGGTTAAATAAAAAGTTAAAACAAATCTTCCCCTTCCTCTTCTTTGGGGCTTGGTTACAAGAGAGAGAGATATAATGTCAGAAGAATGATAAAGATTAATATGGACCACTATGCATTTCCTTTCTGAACTTTTTTAACAGCCGGATACAGCATGAAAGGATATCTTTAATGACAGAGTTCCTTCAATTAAACTAAATCTGGACATTTAACACAAATTACTAAATTAGTGTTGCCTTAATGACTTCTCACCACTATAACCTTTGTTAGTCAGCTAATTTCAACTTCATTTTTATTCCAACCATATAGAACACCATATTCATTTAGATAGTGAAAATACTCCAAATGTTCTTTATTATCCAACTTACTGGGAGGTATGTACTGTGATTTATTCAAATTCAATATAAAGCCATGAATATTATTAAAGTATAGATTTTACTAAAACATTCTTTCTCAAACAGAATTCATGATGACATGGTATCAGCATCAAAAGAAAACTAATAACTCCATACAAACTTGAGAGGCTAAAGTCAGTATAAAAAATTAAGTGAATAGATTAACTACATACCTGAACCATGGCAAGGATGCAATAATCCAGTCCTAGAATCAGGAATTTCCCTGTAACAAAAATTTTAAAAGAAAATCAAAACAAGGATTATAAATTTCAGCACAAATGTCAATCCTGGCTATTGTTTATTTGTTACCACTTTCTTACCCTAAAATTGATTGGTCAAGCCCACAAGGTAAACTTTTGCAAGTATCCAGCTCAGATAAAGAAAGGAGAAAGTTTCTGGTATATGATTTTATTGATTCTCTGAACAACAAAACAAGACCAATTCAAACATTATAAAAAAAAACAGGGATAATCTGTTTTGATGACTAATATGCATTAATTTACTACAACAATTTCAGTTTCTAACTCTTTTTTGTTTACATGGTTAAACTCTTAGAAGTAAAATTTTTTCTCTACTTTTTCCTGATACACCCATTTGATAGTTAATAAGGTGAACTTTCACCAACTTTTTATAAGCCATAACACATAATTAATTTTTTTTCCTCCCCTACCATTTTTTTAGCAACCAAACACATAACCATAAATTAAAAAATATAAAATATAAAATTCAACAGAACTGAGTTACAACCTGAAAACATCAACCACCAGAATAGAATACAAATACATGTTTTTAAACATTTGCTCATGAACCTCTGCAAGTATCATGGATTCATTTAACTGTGCCAGTGAACATTGATCCTGACTCTCTGATCATTATTCTTTCATTGCTATACACACAAGCTATTGTATCTAACTTTGCTTAAAGTCAAAAATTAAGCATATCAAAATAATTCACCTAAACGGCCGTACTTTTTGCGTGAATAAAAACTCTAATCATACGATCTTTACGCTGAGGATTCCTCGTTTTGTGATCAAATAGGAAGCACAGACAAAGGGAGAATCAAACTCTACAACAAATTTAAAATTTCACAGAAAGTCGGTGCTGAAGTGTAAGGATCTTAAAAATTTTCACCAAAAGTTTTAATGCGAAACAAACACATAATTTCATTTCAATCCTTTTCTATAACTTTCTCAGCAACCAAACGGGTAACTATAAAATACTTTCAATAAATGTCTCGAACTTAAACTAAACACATAATAGACTTTGAATATTACTTATGAAACTTGTAAGTTCATCATCTGACTTTGACTGTTCCAGTAAAATGTAATCCCACTTGCTGATCTCATTTTCTGCGGAAAATACACGCCATGAAACAAGGCGACTTAGCTTACAAGTCCAAAACTAACACATTAAGTTTCAAATCACCAAACAAATGCGGTATAGTATGCTGTGTGAGTCTAAACCCTAACGGTGTCTATCTTTCCCAGAGAGTAAGACATTAACTTGCTTTTGGTATTATGAAAGCTACTGCAAAGACAAAATGGAGAATGCAAAACTTAAGTAAAAGAATTTTTCTCGGAAAGTTGTGAGAAAAAGTTTAGGATATTTATGTTCTTAACTGGCTAAATAAGTTAAATGAAGTGAAGAAAGAGGTGAAGGTGATTTGCAGAGAAGGACCACCTCTTTCGTTGTGCGTGAACTGGTATTGTGCCAAGTGGCAGACGGGCAGTTGGAGTCTATATGTAGGAAGAAATAGGACCTGCAGTTTATGGGGAGTAACTATCTGTCAAGCTGCTATTTTTTAAAATCGTAGAAAGTTAATTTATTAACCTTTTTTTACACGCTGATTTTGCCATTTATATTATATATAAATTATTAAAATATTATTTTTGGTAACCAATTAATAATGTCATTAATAAGAATAGCTTTTTATGTATATTAATTATGTATATATTATTAATAATTCCATTTATTTGAGTTTAATTACAACGTCCTTGTATATCATAATTGAAACAGGTTATTAATTTCTTTTTAATCCCCTTGTACTGTAAATGTTACACTATGTTTGATCAAGAAAAGAAAAGAGTCTCACTATATTTTATCTATTTATTTATTTATTACATAATATAAAAATAATAAAACTTATCTTTATAATATACAATTCCTTACAATAGATATGCTCATTGCATAAATAATAACTTTTTTTCAAAATTTAAATTATTGATATTCATGGAGACAAAACTTAGGTGGGTTTTGGAGGCCCATGAAAATCTTTTTAGCCCGATAAAAATTATAGTAGCCCAATTAGCGGTCCGATGTGACCTGTATAAATAACAACCAGTTTACTAGGTTTTTTTCTTGCCCCGAAAGTAGCTCTACATTTCCCTTGCTCCTGCAGCTGCCGCGAGAAACCAGCCGATAGAAGGCTTATCTTATTTTCGCTTCGCAGCCATGGTGACTATTTCTGTCTTTAACTAGTGTTGGTGCAGTCTAGATAACGGTTATAATATTTAACGATTCTTCGTTTATGTTCAGATTATTCCAGAGAGAACCGGAAAAAATCTGCAAATACCTCTTCCAAGGTCCGTCTCTTATGATTACTTGTACGCCAATCAGGAGTTCGTTTTTTGACTAGTTATTTTTTTGTTTACTGTTTGCTTCACATTATAGTATTATAGATGTTCCCAGATCTTATCTTTCTGTAATAGCACTAGGGTTATGATCTTGTGGTCTTTACGTCGATTTACAAATAAATATGAGGA